TATGACATTCTCCCAATCCTCTTCCGGATCATCCAAATGCACTCTAGCAAACTTCAGACGGGCCTGGACATGTACTGGCTTAAGCAGGGGGACACGTCTTGCACTGCAGGATTTGAGTCCCTGGCGGCGTAGTGTGTTACTGATGGTAGGCTTTGTTACTTTGGTCCCAGCTCTCTGCAGGTCATTCACTAGGTCCCCCCGTGTGGTTCTGGGATTTTTGCTCACCATTCTTGTGATCATTTTGACCCCATGGGGTGAGAACTTGCGTGGAGCCCCAGATCGAGGGAGATTATCAGTGGTCTTGTATGTCTTCCATTTCCTAATAATTGCTCCCACCGTTGATTTCTTCAAACCAAGCTGCTTACCTATTGCAGATTCAGTCTTCCCAGCCTGGTGCAGGTCTACAATTTTGTTTCTGGTGTCCTTTGACAGCTCTTTGGTCTTGGTCATAGTGGAGTTTGGAGTGTGACTGTTTGAGGTTGTGGACAGGTGTCTTTTATACTGATAACAAGTTCAAACAGGTGCCATTAATACAGGTAACGAGTGGAGGACAGAGGAGCCTCTTAAAGAAGAAGTTACAGGTCTGTGAGAGCCAGAAATCTTGCTTGTTTGTAGGTGACCAAATACTTATTTTCCACCATCATTTGCAAATAAATTCATTAAAAATCCTACAATGTGATTTTCTGGATTTTTTTTTCTCAATTTGTCTGTCATAGTTGACGTGTACCTATGATGAAAATTACAGGCCTCTCTCATCTTTTTTAAGTGGGAGAACTTGCACAATTGGTGGCTGACTAAATACTTTTTTCCCCCACTGTATACTACATATTCTATCAACATACTATCCATGTCTATAGATCCCATAACAAATACATATACATATATACAGTACCAGTAAAAAGTTTGGACACACCTACTCATTCAAGGGTATTTCTTTATTTGTACTATTTTCTACATTGTAGAATAATAGACAAGACATCAAAACTATGAAATAACACATATGGAATCATGTAGTGACCAAAAAAGTGATAAAACAAATCAAAAAATATTTTATATTTGAGATTCTTCAAAAAGCCACCCTTTGCCTTGATGACAGCTTTGCACACTCTTGGCATTCTCTCAACCAGCTTCACCTGGAATGCTTTTTCAACAGTCTTGAATGAGTTCCCACATAAGCTGAGCACTTGTTGGCTACTTTTCCTTCGCTCTGCGGTCCGACTCATCCAAAACCATCTCAATTTGGTTGAGGTCGGGGGATTGTGGAGGCCAGGTCATCTGATGCAGCACTCCATCCCTCTCCTTCATGGTAAAATAGCCCTTACACAGCCTGGAGGTGTGTTGGGTCATTGTCCTGTTGAAAAACAAATGATAGTCCCACTAAACCCAAACCAGATGGGATGGCGTATCGCTGCAGATTGCTGTGGTAGCCATGCTGGTTAAGTGTGCCTTGAATTCTAAATAAATCACAGACAGTGTCACCAGCAAAGCACCCCCACACCATAACACCTCCTCCTCAATGCTTTATGGTGGGAACTACACATGCGGAGATCATCCGTTCACCCACACCGAGTCTCACAAAGCCATGGCGGTTGGAACCAAAAGTCTCCAATTTGGACTCCAGACGAAAGGACAAATTTCCACCGGTCTAATGTTGATTGCTCGTGATTCTTGGCCCATGCAAGTCTCTTCTTCTTTTTGGTGTCTTTTAGTAGTGGTTTCTTTGCAGCAAAATCAACCATGAAGGCCTGATTCACACAGTCTCCTCTGAACATTTGATGTTGAGGTGTGTCTGTTATTTGAACTCTGTAAAGCATTTATTTGGGCTGCAATTTCTGAGGCTGGTAACTCTAATGAACTTACCTTCTGCAGCAGAGGTAACTCTGGGTCTTCCATTCCTGTGGCGGTCCTCATGAGAGCCAGTTTCATCATAGCGCTTGATGGTTTTTGCGACTTAAGACATCAACACTATGATGTGCCTTCTTAAAAGTTAATTGGTGGAATTTCTTTCCTTCTAAATGCATTTGAGCCAATCAGTTGTGTTGTGACAAGGTAGGGGGGTATACAGAAGATAGCCCTATTTGGTAAAAGACCAAGTCATACCATATAAATAACAGCTCAAATAAGCAAAGATAAACGACAGTCCATCATTACTTTAAGACATGAAGGTCAGTCAATACTGAAAACTTCAAGAACTTTGAAAGTTTCTTCAAGTGCAGTCGCAAAAACCATCAAGCGCCTTGATTAAACTGGCTCTCATGAGGACCACCACAGGAATGGAAGACCCAGAGTTACCTCTGCTGCAGAAGATAATTCATTAGAGTTACCAGCCTCAGAAATTGCAGCCCAAATAAATGCTTCACAGAGTTCAAGTAACAGACACATCTTAACATGAACTGTTCAGAGGAGACTGTGTGAATCAGGCATTCATGGTCGAATTGCTGCAAAGAAACTGACCTATTACAAGTGCTTTCACATAGCCAGCTGTAGTCTCAAGATTTGAAATATAAGGGACTCTACAGTATTTATAATAAGGGGTAGGCCTACATGGAGAAAATCGGACCTCTCTTATTATATATGCAAATAGGCAAATGCATGAAACAATATTTACAGTATTTCCAGTCAATGCAAAGCCTATCATTTTTAGGAAGTTAATTTCATTGGAAATATATCTTTACCCTGTGCACTATAGCCATGCCCTATAGGCTATTGAACATTTAATTGATATCACACAATACATTTTAGAAGCATTTTATCTCCTGTGCCTAGCAGAGAATTGCACTAGGCTTGAATTTTGACTCCGAAAATGATCTTGACTAAGAAAAGGTTGCTGACCACTGTTCTAGGCTATGTACTGTAGGCTATGGCCTACTATTATGTGTAATAACATACTGTTAGGCTATACTTTAGGTTTCCTTTGATGGTGTTTAATATGCAGTGCGTAACCTAATGCAAATCTACTTTGATTGGCCTCCGTGTCAATGATTAACACTAAAGCCTGGCCTCGTTGGACCCCCATTCAGGCAATGATGGGTCTTTTGAAAGTCAACACTGTAACAGTCTAATAAATACATTTCATATATGCTATCAGAAGAATAATCATTTGGTTGTGTTTATGAAGTTCTTACATAACATTAGAATGCAAAATAACATGTATTTCAAAGAACACAATAGCATTTTCATTAGTTTATGTAACTGTAGGCTATATGTACAAACATAAAACCACTAAAAAGCCACAATTCAAGTGATGCAATCCATTCATTATTTATGTGTTAAGGGCAGGTCTTAAGGAACATTATGAATGTAAGAAAATGCATTTCAAAAGAACAGAATGGCATATGTTTTGATGTGCCATCACCAGCTGTGCAGGCCTGACAGGCAGGGGGTAAAAAACGACATGTCCTGTTAAAACTGCTTATAACACAAATGTTGTTCGTGATAATAAGATTTTAACCATGACTGTGTTAAATATACTTATTTAGGAAAAGTCAAGGACGAGGGGGACATCACTTTAAAATGGCAGAGAAACTTTTAGCAGTTTTCTATTACAGCACCAGTGTCGTCAGTGCTGATGATTTATGTAAACTTTTGTGTTGTTTTTTGGGAACTGTGTTTCCAAAGCTAGGGCTGACACTGAGGACCTGTGAAGAGCAGAATCAATATCTTCTGCATCATCAACACAGTTGCTCTGTATACTTTTGGGGGAATGGTCTGATGTGATAGAGTTGGCAGCACAGTATGTCACATCTTGCCATAAGCTAAAGGAGGAAACATAAACTGTACTATTTTCTCCATGTATTATAAGTAATAGACAATATACGTACCACCAGTCAATTTTGTTTGTTGAATTACATTCTGAATGTTGACCATTATTACATTTCGGTATTTGATAGATTTTAGATTTTTTTTAAATTCTCCGTTAGCATTAAAGCTACACGCTTATAGAAAAAGGTGCTATCTAGAACCTAAAAGGGTTCTTCGGCTGTCCCCATAGGATAACCCTTTGAATAACTATGTTTGGTTCCAGTTAGAACCCTTTTGGTTCCGGGTAGAACTCTTTTCGATTCCATGTAGAACCCTTTCCACAGAACGTTCTACATGGAACCCAAAAGTGTTCTACCTGGAACCAAAAAGGGTTCTCTTATGGGGACAGCTTAACCCTTTTTTCTTATTATTGTTGATGTTTATTCAGAATTGTGGTATATCACTTCGCTTTGGCAACATTGACCTGCCATTCATGCCATTAAAGAGGGAGGGAGGGAGAGAGAGAGAGAGAGAGAGAGAGAGAGAGAGAGAGAGAGAGAGAGAGAGAGAGAGAGAGAGAGAGAGAGAGAGAGAGAGAGAGAGAGAGAGAGAGAGAGAGAGAGAGAGAGAGAGATACACTATGTCAACTATATTGTGACTGATAGTCAAAGCAAAATACTCTTCACAAAATTATTTGATTCTTATTTAATATCTAATTTATAGTTGTGAATTTAATGTTCAGACAGACAATAAATATTAAATACACTTAAATACACTGAGGAAGACCATGACTAAAGATGGCCAAACAATATAATTAGTTAGCAGACTCCTCCAAAGTAAATATTGCATTCATCATGTGTTAGAAAAAAGTCAAATCTCACTTTCCAGTCTGAACCCTCCTATAAACCAACCTTTAATGGATACTAATGGCAATATTTACTAAGACTACAAAAAATGTTTCAAGACAAATGTTGACAACTTCACCAGGACAACACATTAGAAGTATTTTAAAAATACATTTTACTTCCTGTCCGAAACAACTCTTTTCATCCTAATCTGCAAATGCATAGTCATGCTATGACATCTCAGTCACTTAGTAACAAATCCTAACTTCTTACGCAACTCAAATTCTTCACGCATAAATCTCCAATTGACATTAATATACCATTTAAACCAACTTCTGAGTTGTACATGCCCATATAATCCTTCTACATATTTCCACCTCTATGGAACATCCCTCAGACTTCCCAGTCTTTGCCTCAGTTGACGCAGGGGAAGCAGCTGCAGAACATCTTCTTGAAGGGGTTGTTCTTGTTGTGGCGCTTGGCCTTGCTGAGTTTGACCAGAACCTCTTGGATGGCCATGTCTGTCTTCTGTATGTTGGCCTGGATGGTGTTCATCATGGGGCCCTGCTCCTCCACCAGCAGAGCCACATCCAGGAAGATCTCATGGATGCTCTGGATCCTGCTCTCCAGGTCTAGCAGCTCCCGGTGGCGGCTCTCGATCTGGTTGAGTGCTGAGTGCACCGTCTTGCCCTCCGACAGGATGTTCTCATTGAAGACGTTCCAATGGCCTGTCTCGATCATCTCCTCCACTTCCTCGCCCGTCACCTCCATCCCCACGATCTCCATCTGCCTCTGGATGTGAGCCTTGCAGCTCTCCCGGTGGCTCATCTCTGCCTCGTTGTAGTCGAACATGGCATCACGGAAGCCGTTGCTCAGGCAGACATATTGGGTCCTGGCAATGCGAGTCACGGCGGTGTTGGAGCCGTGTTCTACCTCCAGCTCCCGCCCTGCGGCGTCCATGTCCTTGAGTCGCGTCAGCACACCCTCAGCGCGGGCCTTGATGTCAGCTGCGATGGCGTTGGAGTCCCTCTTAATGACCATCATGCTAGTGGTGCCCTGGAGCATGCGGGCGTTCTGCTCGCGGAGACGTTTGACCTCCAGGAGGATGAGCTGGACCTCACGGTGGACCTCCTGGGACTGGGAGAAGACCTCCTCCAATTCAGGGGTGTTGTCCCACACCACGGCCTGGTGATGGAGTTCCTCCTCCAGGTCCACGTTGCTAAAGGAGTCCCCAGAGATGGACTCCCCGGACTCAGCGTAGACCATCTGCTCCACATGGCCATTCGACTGGGACAGATCCTGTAAGTGGCTCAGACGGTCCCTCATGGCTGGGTCTGGGTCAAGAGAAGGAGAAGGGGAGAGGAGGTGAGGAGTAGGAGATAGTAGGGATGGGCATTTTACCTCTGTAGCTCAGCTGGTAGAGCACGGCGCTTGTAACGCTAAGGTAGTGGGTTCGATCCCCGGGACCACCCATACACAAAAAAAAAAATTATGCACGCATGACTGTAAGTCGCTTTGGATAAAAGCGTCTGCTAAATGGCATTTATTATTTATTATTATTTATTATTACCTTTTTCGACTGTTGGACTACTAGCATGATTTGTCTTTCGAGTACTGGAGTACTCCAATAAAAATATATATATTTTTAGAACAAGGGCATCACTGGAAAAAAATATGTGGGCATTTATCTACAGTTGAAGTTGGAAGTTTACATACACCTTAGCCAAATACATTTAAACTCAGTTTTTCACAATTCCTGACATTTAATCCTAGTAGAAATGCCCTGTCTTAGGTCAGTTAGGATCACCACTTTATTTTAAGAATGTGAAATGTCAGAATAATAGTAGAGAGAATGATTTATTTCATCTTTTATTTCTTTCATCACATTCCCAGTGGGTCAGAAGTTTACATACACTCAATTAGTATTTCGTAGCGTTGCCTTTCAATTGTTTAACTTATGTCAAACATTTCGGGTAGCCTTCCCCAAGCTTCTCACAATAAGTTGTTGAATTTTGGCCCATTCCTCCTGACAGAGCTGGTGTAACTGAGTCAGGTTTGTAGGCCTCCTTGCTCGCACATGTTTTTCAGTTCTGCCCACACATTTTCTATAGGATTGAGGTCAGGGCATTGTGATGGCCACTCCAATACTTTGACTTTCTTGTCCTTAAGTCATTGTCCTGGGGTCATTGTCAATTTGGAAGACCCATTTGCGATCAAGCTTTAACTTCCTGACTGATGTCTTGAGATGTTGCTTCAATATATCCACATAATTTTCCTTCCTCGTGATGCCATCGATATTGTGAAGTGCACCAGTCCCTCCTGCAGCAAAGCACCCCCACAGCATGATGCTGTCACCCCCGTGCTTCACGGTTGGGATGGTGTTCTTCGGCTTGCAAGCCACCCCCTTTTCCTCCAAACATAACGATGGTCATTATGGCCAAACAGTTCTATTTTTGTTTCATCAGACCAGAGGACATTTCTCCAAAAAGTACAATCTTTGTCCCCATGTGCAGTTGCAAACTGTAGTCTGGCATTTTTATGGCGGTTTTGGAGCAGTGGCTTCTTCCTTGCTGAGCGGCCTTTCAGGTTATGTCGATATAGGACTCGTTTTACTGTGGATATAAATACTTTTGTACCGGTTTCCTCCATAATCTTCACAAGGTCATTTGCTGTTGTTCTGGGATTGATTTGCACTTTTCGCACCAAAGTACAGTCATCTCTAGGAGACAGAATGCGCCTCCTTCCTGAGCGGTATGACGGCTGCGTGGTCCCATGGTGTTTATACTTGCGTACTATTGTTTGTACAGATGAACGTGGAACCTTCAGGTGTTTGGAAATTGCTCCCAAGGATGAACCAGACTTGTGGAGGTCTACAAATCTTTTGATATTCCCATGATGTCAAGCAAAGAAGCACTGAGTTTGAAGGTAGGCCTTGAAATACATCCACAGGTACACCTCCAATTGATGCAAATAATGTCAATTAGCCTATCAGAAGCTTCTAAAGTCATGATTTCATTTTCTGGAATTTTCCAAGCTGTTTAAAGGCACAGTCAACTTAGTGTATGCAAACTTCTGACCCATTGGAATTGTGATACATTGAATTATAAGTGAAATAATCTGTCTGTAAACAATTGTTGGAAAAATGACTTGTGTCATGCACAAAGTAGATGTCCTAACCAACTTGCCGAAACTATAGTTTGTTAAGAACACATTTGTGGAGTGGTTGAAAAACGAGTTTTAATGACTCCAACCTAAGTGTATGTAAACTTCCGACTTCAACTGTAACTGCTCTAGGCAACAGTTCGCTCATAAAGTGGACAGGGTAGGTTATATGATGAGATATGGATGAGAGCAAGATCATTTTTATTTGATAATTGGCAGCCAAGCACCAAGTTAAAACGAGTTTTAATGACTCCAACCTAAGTGAATGTAAAATTCCGACTTCAACTGTATATGCCAACAGTGAGCAACAATGCCTAATTTATCATAACCATTACAGATAATGAATCCTAATTGATAAATTGCCTCATATATATTCAGTCAATAAAAAGTGCCATTTAAGATTAATTTATTGAAACTGTAATATCAGCTGGTTATATTATATGGTGGAAAACGATCTTCAAAAAGGTAGTAACCTCAGCAGTGTGGCACTTGCTTGTAGAAGCCTATGGTTGTGCAATGGCAGGGCCTTGTTTTGTTAATTTAGCAGACAAGACAGTCTTATTTCCCGAGCCCTTATCACAGCCAAGTCATCAATTTTATAGTTTAAAAAAACATGATGTAATATAACAGAATAAAATAGAAAATAATTCGCATGTCGCGTCTGGAAGTTATTCTCAAAGAGTGACCATTTGAAACGGGGCTCAATTTGCCACATTTTTCAGAGTTACATGCAAATTATGTCTTCTTTTCGATATACAGACATTCAATTTAGTTTATTATAACTGTCCCTTGCAATTTTCTAAATGGATTAACAATTCTACATTGAACACTGAATTATGGCGAGGACATCTGTTTTGTGAGTAGGCCTAGGCTTAATGATTCTGATGAAAATAGCCTAGGCTAACCAATTCCAAATTCCACTAGCAGTTCGCAAAGTAGGGTCGCCACTGACGTTAGTTACCAGAGCCACAAAGTCATAAACAATTTCGTTTCTTAAATTCGGATTTAAAACCATTATATTTTATTTTTTTTACCCCTTTTTCATTGTATGCAATTGGTAGTTGCAGTCTTGTCCCATCGCTGCAACTCCGTACAGACTCGGGAGAGGCGAAGTTTGAGACCCGTGCGTCCTCCGAAACACAACCCAGCCGCACTGCTTCTTGACACAATGCCCGCTTAACCCGGAAGCCAGCTGCACCAATGTATCGGAGGAAACACCGTACACCTGGCGACCGTGTCAGCGTGCACTGTGCCCGCCACAGGAGTCGCTAGTGCGCGATGGGACAAGAACATCCCTGCCGGCCAAACCCCCCCCTAACCTGGACGATGCTGGGCCAATTGTGCGCCGCCCCATGGGTCTCCCGGTCGCGGCCGGCTGCGACAGCACCTGGACTCAAACAAGGATCTCTAGTGGCACAGCTAGCACTGTTGTCATTTGGCAAGGAATGTAGCTTATATCCCATCAGTTAAATATGTTTTAATAGGCATTTATTTAGGCCCACACAGAACGCGTGTGTAGAGGGAGCGGTCAGAACGCATTTGAGTGAGTGAGACATGGAGAGGAAAGGTAATTTAGGGAGTAGAACTGTGTGATGTTTGGCTTGGTTATTTTTTTTTTGTGCGTCCTGCAAATGCACATGTACATATGGAACTCAAAGAAAATTAAGGTTGTCTTCAAGACAAAATTTAGACCAAATAGTTTTACAGCATTTGAAAAGAAAACTATGGTTATAGATTTACTTTTGATGTCATTTCGATTACTCATGCCCAGCCCTAAGAGATAGGCCTATCAACATCATCACATTCATATTCAACACAGACAAACAGTAGCTTAAATCTTTCAGTCCCTTATGGCCAGGCGAGAACTAATAAATGAATGTTAAATGAAGGCTTATCCTGAGTTCTAATTTGTTCCATCAATAAAGATGCAGAGACAGTAAAGTTTAAGAGAAGAGTCCTTGATACTGAAACCTACTTCCTTCTGGTCTGACATACCCATCACCATTCACACATCTGACTAGTTCTCAGAGAGAATAGTTGTGGGTGGCGTTTCTCACTGAACAAGTTCTTTACAAAGGTTGTTATTATCATCCCATTGGGCCAAAACTGGTTGAATCAACATTGTTTCCACGACATTTGAACCAAAGATATCTGTGTCATGACGTTGAATCAACGTGAAAAACTAATTGGATTTGCAAAAGTCATCATTGTAAGGGCAATCTTTTCTTCACCTAACTTTTAACCTAAATCCAATGACATGGTGACATTTTTGGTTGAGTTCACGTTGAATTCATAGTTGACAACTAAACCAAATGTAGATCAAAACTAGATATTGAACTGCAGTCTGTGCCCAGTGGGATGGGTTTATCTAAACGTTTGTTTTACATTTCTAATCTATTTGAATCATCAGACGAACAAAAGAGGCAGTTGTGTCTCCTCAGGTCTATGCATTGAGAGATGTTCTTGTCATAAAGAAATTGATTAAAAAAATAATTATTTGCTATTAGAAATCCCAAAGGCAATATACTCTTGATTCTAATATTGTTCTGAGGGTGATATCGTTTTGTCCTTCATTGTTACATTAATTTATCCATCCTTGTTAAAGTAAATTAATCACTTTAACAACATTTTCTGCAGTTTAAAAAACAATACATAATGGTAGCCTATTCCCATAGCAATGACGGCTGAATGTCATCTGAACAGTTTGATCCTATTTCATCTGACAAACACAAGCTTTGAAGAGCAGAGCACCATACCTGTTCTGTTATGATGTAGGCTACCAATATCACAAGTTTTCATTTCAACTCAGGCCCCCATGGTGCTGCAACATCATATACGACTTTAGTGCTACTTCTCTGGGATGATGTGTAGACTGACAGCAGCTAAGAAGAATGTCCCCACCTAGGCATAGCACAGCTATCTTTGGAGCTAGACTAAATCACCATTTGACTTTCTTGGAGCGAGCTGATGAATTGCACCATCGCCGCGTGACAAAGGTGGGGTGACTCTGGAATGAAGCTGAGTTAGTTTGAGTTAGCTCTAGGATCACAAGGAAGACTATTTGCCTGCAGCCATGACCAATACAGATCTCTGAAACGGTGATCCAGCAGGTTTTCCAGTGAACAATTAAAGATATTGAAACTAGAAGGAGTGGTTTAGTTTGT